TTAATAAGAGGTTAGAAGCTGATTGTAAATTGACTCAATCTGCTTAACTGCTTCTCTGGGGTAACTTTTAGTCGCCAAACATCAGGTTCGAGTAAGCCCGAGTGAAGAAAATTAAACGAGAGGATAACCAGGTTGGAATTCTGTTCACTAATATTTAAATTTTACATCTCCAAACTCCCACTGCAATCTCACATGCCGATAATTCTTTGAATTCGCAGTCTCTCGGATTATTGGCAAGTATTGGTAGACGAAAATTAGTTACCGTTCGGAGTTATGGTGCTAGTAACCTGACAATCTCACTAAAGAAATACATCAAAGTCGTTCTGATCAGTTGATGGGGGGGAGTAAGCAATACTTAACAGAATCGCTCAAAGTATTAATTACAAACAGGCCTTAAATTTTCTCTTATGGATATTTAATTATTGCAGACGTAGAACCTAAAGTTCCGAAGCAATTAAGGGACCTACAGTTTATACTAAGCCGCCTTCGAACGGCTGATGTATTTTTTTATGAGGAGCTTTAATGTCAGAAATACACTCGGAGGGGTTGATATTCCCTACCGAGGGGCGACCGCAATTAGAAAATTTTAACTTAATTTTTTATAACTTTTGGATGTTGGTTGCACGTTAATTAAAAAAAAAGGTAGACCACCTTACGAAGGGAGGTATTTTTTTAGTTGACTTCATTTCGGGGAAGATCGTTATCACGAAAAAAAGTTTGCATAGATTTTCATCTGATCGTGATATTAACGCGCATTCTCCACTCGTAGCACCGCAGTCTGCATCAAAGCCTTGGTTTTAGTAGAAATTATGTAGCTCAACCTGTCTGCAACCATATGGCAACTTCCACTTTGAAACAACTTCCAGCCATTAATTTTCCTAAGCCTTCGCAAGTGAATCACATTAACTACAGATTAACCAATTATGATTGCTCAATATCATAGCAATATTTGGTCACTGGTTGATGGCAACATTTAGTGCCAATACACATGCGTCGGCATGCGTTTAGAGCGGAAGATTCACTGTGAAGAATGCATAAACCAGTCTCTCACTCACACCAATAACTCGGTTGACGCACTCGTAAATGGTGGTGAATTGCCAAAAATTCCAGCGCATGAGCGTGGACTGACTCAATTGATTAACCAATACGCCGTTGGAGCGTAAAAATTCAGTTGTTGCAACAATCAATTTGCAATTGCAACACGACGTTAAATGCAATTTATCAGACACAAGTACACACACACACATACCCATATGCAAGCGTACATAGAAACGCAACGAAAAAGGCGAAACAGCTGTCCGATGCACTGAGACGCATGCGCAAACGTCGTTTAGAAGGCTGGCGCTTATTAATTGCACTTGTGGCAAGTAAATATTTTAATTCGGACACTTCCACTTCTAAAGCATTTAAAGTGTATGGTTTTTTTTGTTAGCTTTGCTTTCGAAACCACATTTTTATCACACAATAAATAAGATTGTGAAAAATAAGCGGAAATTCTGCGCGCACGTGCATCCCGTCATATCGACGATAGCGGCATGCCACCGCCACACAGCTGCGAGGCACATCCATATGTCTCAGCAGAAAGAAGAAGATGCTCAAGTCGAAATGGTCCATGGGGTATTCATTAAATGGAATGTGACTCAATAAAAAAAAACTGTTTGGGATCACCTGTTACTCACCGGTTTCGAGTGCACCACCTGCGCTCAGTGTGGTACTACTATTGTTGTTTTTGCACTGCATTAAGTGCAATTTAAGCGCATTATCATTACGACCAATTGCACTGCAGAGCAACAAAAAGCAAAGCAAATTGCCACAACAACAACCAGCAGGAAATTTTTAAACGGCAGCAAGCGACTTGAGCATTTGCGGTGACAGCATCAACAGACACTGCTCGCCATCACATTCTCTCCACTTAACGTTGCCAGGCCAATTAGTAAAATTTTGCACGCATTTTTGAACAATTTTTTCAAATTTATTTTTGTTTATTTTCTGGCATCATTGCCCGTAAGTGGCATACTGCATGACTTTTTGTTGCTGCTTCTTGTTTTGCGATCACTTTTTTTGGACACTCACAGTTATTTTGATGCTTTTAGTTGCAATTTCCCTCTCTGTGTGTTGTTGTACGCTCACATGTGTACTTGTTATTGTCTGGCTATATATCTTATGTCTTGTGCTTCTTCTTCTTTTGTTTGTTTGCGCCTACCCAGCTTACCGCTGTGATGTAAGTGCAATTTTTCAGTTTTTATGATTTTTATGATATTGGCGTGACTTGTCAGCGAGTTTCATTTCAAATTTTGTATTTCTCCTTTGCTAGTGGCGCAAAAACCGTTGTTTGGTACACCGTCGGGCACTTGAGTGAACAGATTCTAAATGCGAATATCGAGATATCTGGAGATCTTCGTCTACTTTGAGTGGCGACTGGGGTCCGATGACGCTTTTTTCAAGAAGAGATTTAGTGAAGGTGTTGACAGACTCCCAGCGCTTACAGGTCTCTGTGTTCTGAGTCGAGTTCATGAAGGCACGAATTTTATTCCTGATATACCAGTTTCGAACCCTGCGTTAGCATTTGAGCAAGTACCAATCACACGGTCTAACATTGTGCTCCGCTACTAGAAGCATTTCTCTCATCTAGCAAATGGATTAAAGGCGACATTAGAGAGTTTTCGCTTATGGCCCTAAAGACCGGTTGCCGTCAGGCTTTTTGTTGTCTTCACAGATTGCGAGCAACACTATTTCGACTTCTCCCCTGGTGCTGCCGGCTAACGACTTGAGAATTTTGTTGCGACTCTGTACTTTGTGGGCAATCTCGAACGTATGTTGAATGCAGAAGTGCAGGCTGGCTATTCGGGATTGACGTTTAGTTGGAAACATTACTCCTTCGTTCAGCTAGTGAAAGGAATGGCTGTGGAATGGTCATCGGTCCTCCTGTGGGGAATTTACCAGTGGTAAGGGATGCCTGTCCTATAGTTACCGCCACATTCGGCTTTTTATATATGTCGTTACAACAACAACAACGATCGTCGGTATAAAAGACTAAGGAGGCAATCTCTGGTAGACAGTATTGAAAAAAGATCACCACACTCCGGAACTGCTTTATTTAATCTTTCTGAACTTGGAGACTTCGAAGTTCTACCTACGACTGTCGATCTTTCGAAATCGAGAGCAGCACTGCGCGATTGACTGTGCCAAAGCTTTCAATAATTCCAGTGTTACAATGATGACAATTTTTATCGGTTTTTTTCTTAAATTATCAATATTTGTACCCATCTCTAACCTTTATTTTCCTTTAACGCCGATATTTGTGAAATTGGTATTCTCTACCTCCCGTTCCATACTCACCGCGCAATTTCTGATGATCTTCTTCAATCCAATACGGCACATACACGTACATGTAAGGGCATAAAATATTAGTCAAAAAATTTTACTTTCCTCAATTGAAAAAATTAATCGAATACCTCAATTCTCTCCCATCTCTGCGACAGCACACACAGCGTCTTCTGACCGTGTCGTCTAGTGATCATGTTTTTCTTTCAGGTAATTGAAATTTAAGTGTTCCGCACATGCGCGTCACACACGATCGAAATTGCCATTCATTTCATTTCGACTGATTACAATTTGATTTATTTTCATTTTTATTTTGATTTTTATGAAATTTTCTGCATTTTTTACATTTTTTCAGGTAGCCAGCAACCAATATGCCGAACCTGCCAACCACACAGCTACCACTTTATTGCATCAATTACGCCCCACTCATGTCCGTAATGCAATTCGATGCAGTGCCAAGGAAAATAAGTAAATAAATAAATTTATCTGTAAAAGTTTGAGACCTCAGGCAAAGTAGCCAAAATAATTTTTTGGTTTGTTGGTAATAAGTGAATCAAGCTTTACAGGTGGCATTCCCAGAGGTATTGGAGTATACAGAAATGTATATGGGCGTGTGCGTAAGAAAAGGTGTAGAGATTCATGAAGGCACAGTACGAATATTTTAATTCAAGTGAGATCCAAAAAAAAACACTTTTCTGAATTTTTTTAAAAGGAGAGAGGAAGCTTATATGATAGCCATACATGTACATACATATGTATATATATAAATAGCAATGACGCCGTAAGAGAAGGTAAGCTCCATTTTTTTTTAAATTTAATTCGTTTGATTACATTTTATTTCTATTTCTTGGTATTTTTCTCTTTAACTTATTTATTTTACTTATTTTATTTTATATTAATTTATTTTATTTTATTTTAGTTATTTTATTTTTTTTTATTTAAGTTTTTTAAATTTTCCGCTCTTTATTCTTTGATTTAAGTTGTTTTATTTTATATAATTCTTATTTTATTCAATATCATTTTATTCTATTTTACCTTTTTAATTTTTTATATTATTTAAATATATTTTATTAACTTTACTTTATCTTACTCAATCAAATTTATTGTAATTTTTTTTTCTTTAGCTAAATTTTGTTATTTCTTTTTTATTTTACTTACTTCATTTAAATTAATTATTTTATATTATTTTACTCATTTAAATTTTTTATATTAATTTTTTTCTCATTTTCTCTGTAACTTAAATTTGTATTTAATATATTTCATTTCATTTTATTTCAATTTATTTTAGTTTATTTCATTTTAATTTAATTTAATCTAATTTAATTTAATTTAATTTAATATAATTTATTTTATTTTATTTTATTTTATTTTATTTTATTTTATTTTATTTTATTTTATTTTATTTTATTTTATTTTATTTTATTTTATTTTATTTCATATTATTTTATTTTATTTTATTTTATTTTATTTTATTTTACTTTATATTATTTCGTTTAATTTTTTCATCTCTTTTTATTTAATTGTTATTTATTTTTTAAGTTTGTTGTATTATTTGTTGAAAATTCACTTTCCCAGATATCTTCATGGTCAGCATTTGACCCAAAAGGTATTATCTTTGCATACTTTCCTTTCTCTTCACACACACACAAACACTCCTATACATACATAAAACTCACCTGCAACATTAATTCGCGTAACTTATCCAAATCGTCACCATGTGACCTTGTCGGCAGATAGCGTCCCTCACATGGCTGCTGCTGCCACGCCAGCAACACCAACAGCACAGGCAGCAGCCAAAGTCCGAGACTGAGTGATGGCGCTGAGGCGACGCCAACGCCTTTACGGCGACATTTCATTTGAGCGCTGCCAACGTTGCTAGAGCTGCACATAGTTCCACTCTGCTTCTTGCTGATTTTGTGCTGTTTGTTACTGTTAATGATGTTGTTGTTGTTGTTGGCGTTGCTACTGCGACGAATTGCCAATTGTGCTGTGACCATTGTGTTTCCGGTTGTTTTTATTATGCGACGTTTGGCGAAAATTTCACTTTTTCACTGAGATTCTCTCTCTGTTTGTTTTGATAGTGCGTGTTGTTGTTATTGTGTGGTAGCCGATGCGTGTAGCCGCTGGTTCGGTGGTTATGTAGTACTTTTCTTTAACAGTTATTTGGTGGACGTTCGTCGTTGGCTTCCCCGAATGGCGCCAGTGAATTTTTGGTTTGTTTTTTCTTTTCTTCTTCTTCGTATTTTTAGCTTTTGGAATTTTCTTTACCTTAAAGTGGTTTTGTTGTTGCTTTTGTTGTTGGTTAGTTTAAAGTTTTCAGCCGAATAAATCCGAAAAGTTGTTTGTGTTGCGAAAATATACAATAAAAATTACCAAAACACGCCCAGCATGAATGTGTAGAGCAAAGAGAGTAGGAAGGAAGCGTAAAAGAGAAGAGTAAAAGAAGAAAATTAGTTATTTGTTTTACCTCAAAAATTTTTGAAATGTCATAATAAATTTGTGTATGTATGTATGTATGTATAGGTATATACAAATAACGGTAATAAAAATAGCACAAGTCATACTTCGGAAAACTTGAAAATTTATTATCTAAGTCACGACTAAATACTCAAATACATATGTACATGTGTACGTATATATGTATGTACGCACAGCAATATTTCAAATCAGTAGAAAGACCTAAATATTGGCTTGGCTCCCCCAATAGCGGAGTCGTTAGCAGTGTATACTACCAAAGGGAAGGTCATTGATTCGAGTCCTGGCCCGACCAGTACTGGATGGTCGCCCATGGGCAGGAAATGGGTGCACTTATTACATAAAGTAGGTTTTCAAGATCAGCAATCAAAGCTTAAGAAGACTAGTCCCACTTCTATGGCTTATTACCTTCATACAAAACAGCTTGCCCTAGATCGGACATTCCAGCTGCATGCCCTCCAATCGTAATCCTTAGTACATTCGTAATGCTCAACATCAAATGAGAAATCTCTCATCCGAGGCTGACATCCTATTCCATTGGAGTTGATTTCCAGCTGGTGGGTCTAAAATCCAACTCAAGACCTCGCTTCGGGAGAAGGTTCTAATTCTGGGCACATTTATTATGCGAGCAGCTTGTTTCAAAACCGATGTCCGCTTGCAGCTGCAACTCTGCAAAAGAGCTTTCGTTTGCTATGTTTGATTGTAATTCATTTTCCACTCCAGATGTAATAAAAGGACATTTTCATTAGATTTTTATTGCGTGCGCATAATACTACGAGGGTATACCGTTATATTTCGGGATTAGAGAACTCGCTTTAGAGCATTTCAAAGTATGCTCCCTTGAGAAATTTACACTTTTGTATGCGTTTGAACCATTTGTCGAAGCTCTTTCGCTTCTCTTATTGAGGTATTCAATAACGTACATTCCGAGCGCTCAAACCACCTCTTAAGGTTGTGAGAAATAAAAAAAATAAACGGGCAAAAATCTCATCTTTGAAGAGCTATACAGTCGCCTACTGTTGCGTGAATTCACTATTAATTACCTCTCACGTTGCCATAGACGAGTGTCGGAGCACTACATTTCTCTCGAAGTAAATGAGCCATTTTTTTGAGCGATCGACAAATTAGGTGGGATCCAACGTGAACAAATTATTTTTATATTAAATAAATTGATTATTTCGTAGAATAGCACGTAAGTCCGTCGTTCACATCAACATCCTCTAATGCAGGCACGTAAACTTAATTAATTATGGCTCTATGGCGTTCCGCCTTGACTGTAATATCAAGGCCTGCATTCGAGAATATAATATAATGGTGCTCAGCAATGGCTTGTGGATTATCTTCACTCATTCTGGAATCATTTTTTTTCTTTAGGTATCTATTCAATCAAAGGAGAGCTTCATCCCTGAACAAAATTTTCTTGTGAAGATCGGGTCGCCATTTACGACGCGCTTGATAGTAGTTAGGCGAGTTGCGCCACGCGAACTGAATTATTTTGATAATGAATTTGCATGAGTTGCAAAGGTTGTTCCGGTTAAGTCTGTTCATTTTAAAATGACAAACCAACCTGAGTATAAATATAAGGTTGTCAAATATCTTCCTTCCCCTTTTTTTCTTTTGAATTTCGCGGCTATGTACAAAGCGCTACAGACCTCGTATCTGGCAACACTATACATAATTTGAAAGGTCTTGACATAATCTACAAAACAGCGCTTAGGTTGGATATTGCGTTCAACAGTTATAGACGTGTAAACATGGAGTTCACTAACGACGAAATTCGCGCTATTTTACAGTTTTCCTTCGTTAAAGGCAAATCCGTTAGAGAAACGTTCCGTGAAAAAAAAGTTTGATGTTTGGGTGCCGCATAATTTGACGCAAAAAACCCTTCTGGACCGAATCAACGCCTGCGATATGCTGCTGAAACGGAACGAACTCGACCCATTCTTGAACCGGATGGTGACTGGCGACGAAAAATACGACATACGACAATATCAAGCGAAAACGGTTGTGGTCGAAGGCCGGTGAATCGTCCCAAACAGTGGACAAGCCGGGATTGACGACCAGGAAGGTTTTGCTATGTGTTTGGCGGGATTGGAAGGGAATCATCCACTATGAGCTGCTTCCATATGGCCAGACGCTTATTTCTACCATCTACTGCGAACAACTGGACCCCTTGAAGCAGGCGATCGACCAGAAGCGTCCAGAAATGGCCAACAGGAAGGGTGTAGTGTTTCACCAGGACAACGCCAGACCACACACTTCGTTGATGACTCGTCAGAAGCTACGGGAGCTCGGATGGGAGGTTTTATCGCATCCACCATATAGCCCGGACGTAGCGCCAAGTGATTACCACCTGTTCCTGTCCATGGCGAATGCCCTTGGTGGTGTGAAGTTGAACTCAAAAGAGGCTTGTGAAAAGTGGCTGTCCGAATTCTTCGCATAAGGAGGGGGGCTTCTACGAGGAAGGTATTATGAAGTTGCCGTCTAGATGAAAACAGATCATCGAACAAAACGGCGCATATTATAACTACAATAAATCCCATCACTGTAACACTTTTTATAAAGCATTGAATGAAAAGCGGAAGGGAGATATTTATTTATTAAACACCCTTTACTTTAGTGCTCACAGTTTCACAAAATATCCCAATTTGGCACTTTGTATTAACTCATTAGCAGTAAACTGATTTCAGCACCCAGCGCCACCACCCACAGCTTAACAAATTATTTTATAGTCAATTAATTTTAAAAGATCATAAATTATACAAAAACGCATTAATTTATTTGGCAAAGCCACAAAATTTCTTCTTTCATCGCTTATCTTTTCCTCAACACGCGCCCGGAAATGTGTCGTAAAAAGTGCGAAAGTGCTTAATAAAAAAATTTAATATGCCGCCACATGCACATACAGACAAACCTATCGCAGATATGACCACCACTGGGGGGCGAGTGGGTAAAATGGAGCGAGTTAACTATGAATATTCGTATGAGTTTTTATGTATATATGTATGTACGCGCGCACTTTCAATGCGTTCAATGCCCTTCGGCATAAATTCATATTTCACGTGCATACTCGTATGTACATGTGCATGCATATATGTAGGCGTGCTTATGTACATTTGTGCGCCTGCCTGCGCTGTAATCAATTTCAAAGACCAAAAAGGCGTTGAGTGGAAAATTTGCTATAAATTGAACTGCAATAACAACTCGATAATTTATGACGCCCAAAGGCTCCAGTGCATGATTGTGTCGCTATCTTCGTGGTATTTGCACTTGCGTATGAGCGTTTTGGAATCTTTTGTACACGCTAAACTCTAATATGAGATTGGGAGCAGTTCCTCTGGGGTACTACAGAGCTATTGTTACAGTTGTGTTGTTACAGTTGTGTGGTGGATTGTTTTAGCTAGTTTTTAGCTAGTCATGAACAGGAGAGTGTGTGTTTCTGAAAGCAATGACCTCTATGCAGCCCAGCGGGCGCAATGAATGTAAGTTAGAAGGAGTAGAAATTTGCAAGCAGCCCAAGTGTTTTTGAGGTAGGCTGTGAATGTATTTCTCATAGTTTCTTGAATGAAATGTCGTTCAGGACAATATTACTCAGCTTATACAATGTTACCCACTCCGCCTTCCACATCTTCTCAGTCACTTCCTGTGCAGAGAACAATTTTTTAGGCTAAGTCTTTAAGTGTTTCCTTAGTCCCTGTTTCAAGCGAATTTCCCGTTCTAGCAAGAGCGTTTCAACGCTGCGTTGATGTCAGTGATAAAAATAATTTATTCAGCTCGAAATCGGACAAGATGTAATCAAGTGAATCCCACACTTACTCATGATATGTTGGAAAAGAAGAGGTCCACTCGACGTGACCTTGCTCAATTGCGACCGCTAATAGTTCCCCAAACGGACTTCCTTTTTTGAAGAAAGCCAGAAATAGTAACTAATACTTTTTGGTTCTTGTGTTAATTAGGTGATGGCATGTCAATTTCCTCGATAATGTCTGAAAGTTAGCTCTCTTCTATAAAGCTCATTTACTTAAACCGTAAGGAGACCATAAATTCTCAATAAACTTAGCAGTCATGTGACCAAACCTTTCAGAGCCTTTTTGAGCTAAATACCACAGAAAGGTATGATTATGTTCGAGCTCTTTCGAAATCAAGAATGTCGAGTCGAGTAGTAGACGTGATATCTGTTTTTTGAAAAGGCAAATTTTTCATCACTCAAACACATATTGATCCATTTTCTCAATCGTGAAATTCATAAATCACTCTTCGAGTGTGATCTTTTTTCAATTAAAACTTTTTAGCCACGAAATTGTTTCCGAAACCTTCTCATAGCCACGTGAATAGGTTAGAACTCGCCTTTTAAGGATTTATGGAGATTTAGTTAGATCCCTATTTCTCTCTAACTCTCTTACTCTGTCTCTCTCTCTCTCTCTCTCTACCTCCCTCTCTCTACCTCCCTCTCTCTCTCTCTACCTCCCTCTCTCTACCTCCCTCTCTCTCTCTCTCTCTCTCTGTCCCTTATCTCTCACTCTCACTCTCTTTTATTCTCCCTCTATTTCTCCCTCTCTCTCTATCTCTTTCTCTCTCTCCCTCCCTCGCTTTCTCGTTTATTCTCTCTCTCCTCCTCTCTCTTCCCTCTATCTCTCTCCTCCTCTCTCTCTCTCTTCCCTCTATCTCTCTCCTCCTCTCCCTCTCTCTTACCTCCTCTCTCTATCTCCCCCTCTGTCTCTCTCCCGCTCTCTCCTTCTCACTCTCGTCGCACAAACTGCCAACTCGAATTATTTATTGAACTCTGCTCATTGGAAATGAATGCTGACGATGAA